GTTCGCCGGAAGAAGAAGCACCTCAACAGGCGGATGACGTATGAGGCCCTATTCAGGCATGCGGTCTGCCCTATAAGACATGAAACCGGCATCTTGAGTTTCAAGTCGGATTAGCTGTTGCTCAGAGCCATCAAGGATGGGCACACGGGCGGGTCGTCCTCCTCTCCGAACTGATTGAAGTGCGGCTTCCTCCATGCGAAGCCTCCGCAGTCGCTGTCCAGGCAACGCCGGCGGTTTGCGGCGAAGTCGGCCTGGCAGGACATACAGCAAAGGGAAGCAAAAGAAGGTATGTCTTTTTTAGTAGGAAATCGGTAAGTGGATGCATTCATAGTCTGGGTGGGTGGCTCTGCTGTTTTGGAACTGAATAACGAATTCAAAGGCCAGAATTTCAAAACTCGCACCTGCGAGGCTCCTGTAGTTTCATTGTTCAGTCCAATAGTTGGATTCGACAGACCTGCCGAACAACACAACAGAATCAACAAAGCGGATGATCTGGTGAGTTTCCTAGACTCGGCCGCGCTCAATTACAACACAGATAGCTGTGATCCAGAACGATATCACGATGTTGATCAACTCCGCAACATAGACGAATCCATTCCCGAGATAGGTTGGTTTCAATCTCATTTCTGATGATAGGATGTGCAATAAACCTAAACATATAAAACAACCACATAGAGTTGGTATCTGCATCATATACATATACACCTATTCTCAGGGCAGGTATGTAAACGCCTGGCTGTCTAGCTACGGTCGCACTTTAGTAGCTGGCCTAAAGGGCTTAAGCTGCGGACCTCGGAGCGGCAGACGCCGGAGTTGGCCACGGCCTTGAAGGTCACGCTGCAGCTCGGCAGCCTCTCCCAGGGCTCCTCCCAGGCCTCCCGCTTCTTGGGCAAGAGCCGCTGGACGTCGTAGTTCGTCCAGCCTCTGTCCGGCTCCGGGGCCTGGGATCCGTGGAAGCCTCCGAAGGAGCCGGGCTGCGTGCGCAGGAAGTCCTCCAAGTACTCCATGCCGGCGATTACCCAGCCGCTCTTGCTGGCTCCGAGCAGCCGCTTCTTCTCGCGATTCAGGTACACCGGCCGACCGTTCAGCGAGGCATCCGTTTCATGGTACGTTCCGGCACATTCGCCGTAGTCCGGCTGGCCCTGCTTCGTCAGGAACTCGAAACCCTCCAGCCGAGAAACCTCGTAATTCTCCCATGTCCCATCTTCCGGGTCGCCCGAGGCCGCTGAGTGAAAGCCCCCAAAGCTCTTGGCATCCTGCGTGAGGAAGGAGTCGAGCTCAGAGAGCGTCCCAATGACCCAATGACCCCCGGCGGTCTTGCCCAAGAATCTTCCCTGCTCTTCGTTGATATAAACTGGCTTGCCGTTTAAGCATCGCTTCGGGTCCAGCTTGTAGCCCCCGGCGCAGTTTCCATAGTTGGCTTTACCGCTCCTCGTGCTGAAGAGGAGCATGGCAGCCCAAGTCAGAGGCCCAGGCCCACTCAGCTCGAGCAAAAAAAGGGCCCAAAGGCAGAAGGCAGCGCTTTGGAATACGCTACGGCCCTACAGTGATGCCGCGCCGCCCTCAAGGGGGCCCTCCCTCCCGGGAGGCTCCTGGGCGCCTCGCCATGAAGCCGTACGTCAGCCCTGCAGCGAGTCCCTGCTGCAAGTGGGTGAGGACCTGAGGAGGCCATTCCCGGGGTCCCCTGCCTCAAAAAGAGATCGACAGCGAGCACTTTTTGCGCAAAGCACGGCATCTGGGCTGCGAAACCGCCGGCCCGCCGTCGTGAATCAGGGAGTAAGGGTTGGCACCCTGTCGCATGTAGACCTCGTCAGACTAGACGTGCAGCTGCACATTCCTCCCATGCCCCAGCGGCATGTGGTTTCTTGGCCTTGTAGCCGGTGATCAGGGAGCCGATGCAGCCTGAACCGCGGCGGTACAGTGGCTGTGCAGCTCGAGTCGCGCTTGGAAGGGAAGGCGCCTGTGTTGGAGGGCGGCACCCAGGTCAGCTTCACAGAGTTGTCCGTGTGATCGGAGGCGGTGAAGCTGTCGACGGGATCCGGCCTAAGGTACAAGTGCTGCCTTGGCAGCCGGAAGCTACTATATAGTTGCTGTTCCCTTCCGGGTTCCCGGCAGCGCGCAGACCTGCGTCCGGTAGACCGGGCTTGCCTCACGGAGAGTCGGAAGAGATCTGAGTCTCTGAAGCGGCCGCAGGTTCTCTCTGCACATCTTCGCCTCTGAGAGGCCAATGGCATTTTCCGCATAGACCACGAAGCGGATGAACTTGCCCTCGGGCCTGTGACACCCCCAACAAGGCCACTTCGTGCAGTCTTAGGCTATTTTCTTCCAAACACGGCGGGGGCACAGCCCGTCAATGGTGTCTGAGACGGTGATACTGCTGTAGGTCCTGGAATCACCACCGGCTCGGGCTGTGAGCATGTTCAGCCTTGGAACTCAGCCGGCAAGGACGAAGTTGAAGGTACTGGAACAGTTGCCATCCATGGTGATCTGCGTCCTGTTGCTTGTGAAGTCAGTGTAATCACCGTCGTCATAGGACACGATGTATCCTGCTGTGCACGTTGTATGAAATTGCTGAAGGCTGGTTTCCCATGCCTTTCTACTTCGCGCCACTCGCGCTCGAGTCTCCTGTCACAGGAGAGCCTCCATTGTTTGTGGGAGCAGTCCAGGACAACGCTACGGACCTTGGCGACCCGTGCCCCGAGCCCTGCAAGCCGGATACTGTAGGCGGTAGGTGTGTGTGCCTACCGCTGACTCGGGAGCCGACGTAGCCGTGCGGTTCACGGTGGTATCGCGCACCAGAGCGTTCATCCTCATGAGTGTCGAAGTGTCACGGCCCGCTCCGGATGAGTCTTCGCGTCTTCCAGGGCGGCCCAAGGGGCTGGGAAGGCTCGGTGCCACCGGCCACCACGGTGATGTCCGACCTGCGTAGCGGCCGTAGCGGGAAGAGAAGATCCGTTCACGGCCGAGAGCGCGCAGCGCAAAGCTTCGTGTGACCAAGGCACTGCAGGGACTCGCCGGCGGAGTTCAGAGCCGTGGCAGCGAAGCGATAGAGCAGGCCGCCTTCGGTTTAAGACGGACAACACACGAAGAGGGGCCTGAGATACATCCCAGTATAGCTGAGTTCGTGGCCTGAAAGTCCCGTGACGGTGAAGGACAGAACGTCCGGTTGGCCATAGCCTCAGTTTGTCACAGAAACTCACAGCCGTGCCTTGAGGCACTCTGTCAGGGTTTGCTTAGTGTAATTAGGCCGCGCCCTGTTCGTGGGCACAGTCCGAAGGCGACTCTGATGCCTCTCTTTCTTCTCAACGTCTTGGAGCGGAGCCGTTCCACAGCAAAATGTCGATGGGGTCGTTGGCACCATTGTCCCTGCCGGGAGCCGCGGCATGCGAGGCACAAACAGCGCTGACACTCGAGTAGGGGGAAACATCTACAGACGATGGGTTCGAAGACGTCTAGCGCAGACTGCAGACACACGGACTAACAGACAGTGACACACTTGCCTACATCTGCACAACTGTGCTTCCATTTAATGACGGCATGAGGCAGGTAGACAGAGAAAACAGAGAAACTCTCATCTGCACACAAAGAAAGAGAGGAAGTATGTCTGAACGGGACAAACGGCTGCAGACACAAACATGCTCCAGCCAGTACACAATATGCAAGATGTCTCGTTTCTCTCACACAGCTGCTGCACATGAATGATGAAGACCTGATCTCCGGCTTCTGGAAAGTTCGGAAATTGATGGCTCCAAAAATCTGGTGTCCAGTGTGTGTAGAAGCATGCTTTCTGAACCTGGCCATGTGAGTGTCTGCCCTCGGGGCACTCTTTATAAGTGGCCGAATCGACCACAGACCTACACTGCACCATAAAAAAAAAAAAACGTACACCGAACTGTACCGGGCCTGTAGAGCTTGTACCCAAGCACGGGAATACCACCCGAGCTGACCGGCGCCGTCCACGAGACCTGCAGCCTCAACCAAGAGCTCTTCGGAGGGCCTTACGGGTTCAGGTTGTAGAGGGAGCAAGCAAGCGAGAGAGAGAGAGAGAGAGAGAGAGAGAGAGAGAGAGAGAGGGAGGGAGAGAGGGAGAGAGAGAGCGATATTTTGGGTGTTTCTACCTCTAATTGAACCTATGTGCCTCTCATATCAGATCTAACCGACCTAGCTACCTATGGTCGATTATTGCTGTAATGGCTTGTATACATTGTGCATGATTACACATACGCGCATGTATGTATATATACACATACATACATATACATGCACATATATACACATACATATACACAATATCTATCTGTCAACACACAGAATATGCTTTTTGCTATAATGGCCTTGATTGATCTTGTGCTGCCCCCTCAGAGCTCGGTGTCCGGCCCAGTGTTCGTGCGCGTGGAGGCCACCACGGACGGAGCGCCCGGCGGATCCTCGTGGACAGAATTCCAAGCACTTCACACATCGGAGGAAGAGACACCACAGAGCATCCCCTGTGTCATCCCCTGATTAGAGGCCTATAACACAGAAGAATCCCCAAAAACTCTATAACGCGCCCCTATCTCAACTTCCCTGAAGCTCAAGAAAGCAAAGGCAAGGAGCCGGAGCCGCCGCCGCGTAGAAGCCGGCCTGCAGAAGGCCAAGGTGCCGGCTTTCAGCCGCCGTCTATTCTGTCTGGTATGTTGTAGTTATTGTAGTTTAGTAAGTTTAGTAGTCTAGTTGCTCATGAATATAGTCGAGCAGGAGGAGCTCGCATCCTACAACGGCTCTGCCATGTGAATCTTCCCTCTGTCCCAACCCTTCTTGCTCCCAACTCGCTGTGTCCAATCCTGAAATATTGAGCGAAACAGCGATTCTACCTGGATCGAGATTTCGTGCAGTTGTGCACTGAGGCACAGCAACTCAGCAATGTGGAGAAGGGAAGCATTGCGAGGATCGAAGAGCTGCGTCAGTCCTACTTGTCCTGATGAGACCCGATCTTCTTCGGCGCACCCGTAACCGGCTACCCCTACACGTGAATTTGACGTTTTCAATGTTGGAGAATGCTTTCGAGCACTGGTTCCCCGATATTTCGGCCTCCACATAGTTGGGCACCAGGTCCGTCAGGGGGTTCGTGTCCAGGGCTCGGTTTGCAGCCGCCACCTGAAAAGAGAATATGAGAGAGGCCTCAAAGGCTCTCTGTTGCGGCTCAGGACTGCTTTTTTGAGGCTTAAAGGGCCTGGATGAGGTAGTAGTAGCCCAGCGTCAAGCCGGTGACGGTGAAGGTGGTGCTGGTCGGCTCGGCTCCGTTTGTGGCATCCACGTAGGTGGTGCCACCCACCCTGGGCCCAGCCGTGCAAACTAGGGGTGCTTTCGACCATTTCTGATCAAGGCCACTCAAACTTCGAAGCCAAAGTAGAGACACTCGCTGCAAGGTCTCTTTTTTTCTCTGATCACCCAGGGCTTGGCGTCAGGTAAGCCTCGGTACACGGACATCGGGAAGGTCCGATGTACTGGGAACCTTGCGATTAGCTGAGGTGCTTCGCTTTCGGGGCTCGCTGCCCCCAGGACTGTGGCCGACGGCTTGGTCGCCAACTCCTCACTCCACCAGAGTCCCCCCCCTCTGAAGCAAAACCGCCACGGCCTCTCCGTGCCTCGCCATCGCTGGCATCGCCCTCACGCTCCGCTGCGGCATAGATGCGCTCTTTGGCGGAGGCAGAGATATCCTCATATAATGCACAGAAACACCGGACTCCCCGCAAAACAGGGCGTGTCCTAGACACGGCAACCCCTCCTAAACACGGAACAACCTATTTTTTGTTAACATGGCTGGCCCAGCTGGGGCGCCAGGGACATGGTCTTCAGCAGGAGGAGGAGCATCGGCCCAAGGATCGAGGCCAAGGTGACCCAGATCCACAAGGTGGGTCCATCCGCCCGTTCCGGCCAGCCTCAAAGAGAGGCGCTCCCCTGACTCACTGAAGCCGAGAGGGGAGCACTTCCGTAGTAGGGCCAGGTCCAGTGCACTCCCGGCAGCTGCTCGGGCAGCTTCCCGACTGCGCGGCGGCGGCGCACCTCACTTCAAGAAGGGGATCTGAGACGCCGCAGCATCTGCCAAAGCTTGGGTCCGGGCAGGGTTCTGTGCGAGGAGCAGGAGAGGGCATCTGCGGGCAGGCATATTCGAACCAAGGCCCCTGACTTGATGTGTTTTCGTTGGAAGTCTCCCGGGCCTGGCCCAGTCCCATTGCAAGGCACCGGAGCGCCCGAAGCCTTGCAAGCGGCTCCCCGAGCCGCTTCGAGCTTTCACGGCAGCTCTGCTCTGCTCTGGGCCTTGCAGTCGTAGCGGCAGAAGGCACCCGTCCCCGGCTCTCCTTAACAAAAGGGGCGAGCTGCGCCCTCGCGCGTGCTCTTCCGAAGAGCTCTCCCCTCTCCTCCGAGGCGCGGGCGACAGCTGGGGCAGTCCGGGCAATAGTTTGCCAGCAGAACGCCCGAGAGCCAACCCGTGGGCAGGGCAGCCAGGAACCTGAGAGCAAAGGTGCCCCCTACGTCACAGAACAGAGACGCGCACAGAGTGGTCCAAAGGCGCAGTTTTCTTCTGGGCTCCGGGCTGTGGAGTAAAGGCGAGGACCATGAAGGCGCCCTGACTCTGGACATGTTTCGACTCTCGTCTCTCAAATGTTAAAACTGTTAACGGCCTCTTTGCCATCCGGCGAGAGGTTCGCGGAGAACGTGTTGAAGCGAGGGCTCCAAATCACCTCGAGCGCCGCATAGAAAGGAGCGGCATAAGGGGCTGCAGATCTGGCGGGGCCTCCCCGATGCTCATCGTTATCAGCCAGGCGCAGGTGGCACGCACCTCTCCAAAGCATCCATGGGAACTGTTTTCAGATCTGGGATACGGCATGATACGGCTGCGTCCCTCCGTCCGAGGCGGCCACAGAGACCTCGAAGATCATGAAAGCCGGGGACAGAGACATCACGACCTCCAACCCAGCTTCGCGTTCGGAAGGGTTCTCTCTCGGACGCTCCACGATCTTCGCTGCCAAGGAGCACTGCCGAAGAGGATGGCAGAAAAGTTCCTGCTCAGGAGCTCTGCGAGTTCGCTACGTACGCTCCGGCCAAGTTCGAGAGTCCTCCACTTGGCCGTGGCAACGGTAATGAGGGGCGGCAGGAGCGCACACATCCAGTAGTTGATGCTATTCACAGATCCCCAAGGCACCTGTTTGTGTGCAAGGCTCTTTAACAACATGCTCATTTTGAAAGCGACACTGCCACATTGCTGCCGAGCCGCATCTTCGCCCAGCTCTCTGACCAAGTACTTGGGCATCGTCGCGTTCCTTTTGCCACAGGTGCAGAATGTTGTGCATTTTCCGGGCAGCCCGGGTGCAACAGATGCCAAGCTTCATGTGATGCCATTGCGCCTTCACGCCTGGCTAACGGTAACTAACGGCTGCGACTTCCCCGGCCCAGGAATCCAAGAAACAGAGAAATTCGGTCAGCGCGACCCACCAAAGCCGTCGAACACGCTGCGATGAACCACAAGCCACGATCGCTCCTCCGAAAGCGCGTGGGTACAAAGTCCAACCCAACGTTGCATGATGCAGAAATTGAATCAGATGGTGCACCTTCCAGTCAACAACTGCCGAGGTGCAGCAGGCTCACGGCCTGCGTCCAGGCCACTCGCAGCGGAGAGGCACCGGCGCCTCCGCCTCTCACGTGGTGTCTTCGGATGGGCTTGGTAGGGGCGTTGCATACGGCTTCTGGGGTTGTTTAATTCCAACAGCATGTCAAAGGGTTTCAGGAGAAGCTGGATTGCTGGGCCCCCCACCCACGACGGTGCGAGGTGAGCCTTCTTCATCCTCGTCCTGGTGGCACTCATTGACAGAAAAGAGACAGAAAGCTTCACACCAGCGCCGCCAGCGCCAGCCCTTCCACGTAACATCTAAAAGGCCAGGAAGGCATCCTAGAGCACTTCAGTGTCCTGGAACTTCTGATGGCTTCTGCAGCAGGACAGGGGCGGCGCAAGCTCTGCTGGTAGGAGGCAAGCCAAGAAGCAGCTAGCCAGCAAGGCACCCTCGGAGAGCAGGAAGCAAGCCCGCGTCGGGGTGGAAAAGCGGCCAAACAGGCCCAAAAAGCCGGAAGGATCCTCGGTGTGCGGACAGCTGCCTTAGCTGAAGCTTCCTGGCTTGTCGAGACCTGGGCAAGATCCTGTGATAATAGTGTGTAGGTGTATGTGTGTATGCGTGTGTGTGTGTGTATGTATGTATGTATGTATGTATGTATGTATGTATGTATGTATGTATGTATGTATGTATGTATGTAACTGTATGTATGTCAATGTATGTATGTATAAGATAACGAAACAAGGACATACGCCCTTCAGATTCCGAGGTTCAAGATGCTGCCAGGACCGGAAGGCATCGATGACTAGATCAGCGATGCCGCCGCCTGGAAAGCCAGGAAAGCCCCCACCCGATGACGGGGGTTTAGGGTCTACAGAGGGTTTCAGTTTAGTTTAGGGCTTCAGTTTAGTTTAGTGGGTTGCAGTTTAGTTTAGGGTTTCTGGGTTAAGGGTCTAGAGAGGGTTTCAGTTTAGTTTCGGGTTTCTGGGTTAAGGGTCTAGAGAGGGTTTCAGTTTAGTTTCGGGTTTCTGGGTTAAGGGT